CCCCCCCTTTTACCCCTACTTTAAAATAATTAGGTAGTCAGGGGTCGAACTTAATGTAGCTCTGATATCAGAAACAACATTTTTTTGGTTCTATAGACTAAATATTAGAAGCTCTGTCACCCCACTCTACTTCTAGATTGTGTTTGTTGTCATCCATAATTAGTCTTCATAATGTACATGTATGACAAAAAGAGCAATAATCTTTAACTTTTAATTCATTATCTGCTGCTTAATGCATGATAAATGCATCATCTTGGCAGAATCTTGCATATCAATATATTTTGCACTCATATTTATGTGCATTGGTTTATCCTGATAAAAATCCCAGAATTTTTTGTGTCTCTCTTTTGTAGTTGTGAAGCTCCAAGGTGACTTACTAAGTATACCTGTATTTACAGAGGACAGAAATAAACAGTAAATAATCAATGAGAAAAGCCGTTAGTATGCTCATGATGTAATACTTTTCAAACAAGCACATGTACTTCCTGGTTATATTTGTCATTTCCATTCCATTGCACCTATATACAGCCTTTAAAAATTACTGGTAGTAAAGTACTTGTCAAAACTGTTAATTAATCTAGCCAATACTACATAATAATCTATGTTTCAAGGTTAGTACAAACAATTATGTTTATTTATTCTATTAGGCCAAATAAAAAACTATAGCATTTCTTGTAACACGTGATTGACCAGGTAGTCAGAAAGTAGTCTACAGGCTTGTGTAAACAAGGCAATATTTTTCAGAGAGCTCTAACAAAATTACTGTCTATAACTTGCATGTGCATCATTTTTCTTGCATTTTAGTTTGACTTTATATATACAATATCTACATAGAGTTTTGGCAAAAACATCAAATCCATATCTTCACACAGTAATAGTTTATAAACTCTATTTTCATTTTACTTTAATGTAAATGTTTTGATCTATAAAACAGTTTTTCCCCCATAAAAAGACAGAAATATAAACAGCTGATGATCAGTTATCTAAAAGTTAATATTATCTATCCAGCAATTTTAAAATTTGAAAGCTGGTAAACACTTGAATCATACTAGCCACCAAAAAGTTCTCACAAATTTGAGGTTCTGAGTTACTTATATGGTACTAAAGTTGATTATTTTATAAGCAGTATTATTACATTAACAATGGATTATTGGCTCCTTATTTTTTATATCATCAGAAGCAAATGATATAACCAATATTAAATTTTCAATTATGTTTTAAGATTTTCTAAACACTCAAGATAACAGCATATTTCAAAACTTCACATGTGCATCTGAATAAAGAAAATTCTGTACACATGCAGACCATATATACACTAAGCTACAAACTGAAATTAAGATCAATCTCTTAAAGATAGTATACCATCTTTACTACTTACCTTAATGTGTTGATTCTCTGTAATAGTATAGAAAATGAACATTTTGTTTCATAAAATATTCATATGCTATAACACCTATTTATCCAACCAAGTAAAAGAATGGGTACTTGTATGTTTTGATAACTTACTTAGATTTATCTCATGAATAATGCAACAGTTAGTCATACAAAAGTATTTTACATCTTTAACAGTATGTATTAATTTACAATGAATATGAAATAACCCTATCATGATGGGTCACATGTCAAAGGCCATGTCATTGCATTTGTTGACTTGCATTCAAAATTTTATTGAACTCCTATTTTATGAATTTATGTCAATAAGTTTGGTATCAAGTTGTAGATTATAATTTAAATTGCAGTATTATACATTACTTAATTTCTTAATTTAAAAGTAAATAAAAAAAACAGAGCTAAAGATCAATTTTTGTGTGTCACGTGGTATGTTGAATGCAGCACTGGTTCAAATTAGATGTTTGTGATGTCAAAATACAAAGTCTATAGTTTTTTAAGAATTAGGAATTCAAATTTCCAATACTGACAAGCTAGAATATAAAATAAGAATCTCTTATGTTATATTTGCTAAGATATCGCTCATGTACTGAATCAAACACAGTGGCCCCCTGCCTATCTCTTTCCATTTTTGGAAATGTTCCCTTAAACACACTTACTTCTATATATGACAAGAATAACAAATCAAAAGCTCAGAAAGTCCCCCCGGCAGTTTTCTCAGCCATTCTGATATGTTATTGTGTTAATCTCATTCTTTTCACACAAGATTTCAAACAATAGGGTAAGTCTTTACTGAGCTTGAAATTTCATATTTTTTAGACCCAAATGCAGCTTAGTTACTATGCTTGATAAATTATAGTGGAATTCTATGGTATTGATATAATAATTTATTATTTTTTTCATTATTTAAAATGTATATATAAAGCCTAAAAACAATTTTCTTTTCACATCCTCCATGTGGGGAATTTCATAA